ACCTAGCTCTCTGGCCCCTCTTATAAGGGCACTAATCCCATTCTCCAGCCTCCAGTCTCCTGACCTAACCACCTCCCAGAGGCCTCACCTCCAACCATCATCATGTTGGGGCTTAGGGTTTCAATATATGAATTTGGGGGGACACAAACATTCAACCCATAATACCCATAGCTCAGAGACAGGATTTAAAAGAAAAAGCTGATGACTCAGAGAGATCCTAGAAAGAGAGGAGGAGGAGCACTGGTGATGCTAAGTCCCTGAGGTGACAAGTGCCAGAACCAGTCCTGACCCAGTGCTCCTGGGCCCTGGTTCAGAGGGAGGTGGTCATCTTCCCACAGAGCACATGGGACCTTCTCAGCAAATGAGAGCTGCTGCACCAGCATGTCTATTCTGAGTAGGACCAGTTTTCAGGAGTGAACTTCAGGTCACAGCTACCTATACCATATCTTTGTGCAAACTTTAAAACCAAGAAGTCATCCTGCTCTTTGTATGCATGGCTTGGCAGCATTAAAGTAAGCAGAGGTTAGATTTCGGTTCCCACTCCTCTCCTTGGCTGTGCAGGCTCCACAGTGTCCACAGTCCGTATGACTCCAGGATGACTAACAATGACAGTAGCAGATCTATGAGACCCCAGGTCTAGACTCACTTGAATGGCTAAGCCAGCCCAAGTTCCCTTTTCTGTCTGTATGTCTTTTGGACTGTAGAAGCTCTCAAGATTCTGGCAAGCTCTGGGAGGAGGGGGAAGACCCTAGGGGGAGAGATCCCAAGACTTTGTGCAAATAAGGCAGTAGGTGCTTGAGCAATTAATTGAAAATAAAAGAAACCTAGCCATAGTCATCCCCAAATTGTGGAATTATTTCTAATAATTATACTACTTCTCCTGCTTGCTGCATGCTGTTCTGATTTTCATGACTTCTTTATAGGTAGATACCAGAAGTTCTCCCGGTCAGGCATAACTAATTTAGGTTTATGTTTTTTCCTATGTAGTAGGAAGAGGACTTGTGGTTTATGCGTGGGAATTCAGACAGAGTGAGTCGTCTTCCAGCATGGACTCAGTTCTGGGGCACTGACCAAATAATACCGGGTGAAAAACTGGTTTTAACCTGGGCCAATGGCAAGAAATAGAGCTAAATTTGGGCTCAGAGAGCAATAGTAATAGCAATACTCTCTACGGCTGCAGGCGTGGGTCCCTACCACACCTTTGCCAACCCTAGCCCACAGGACTTTCTGCAAATTCCTACTTTGTCCCACCCTCTCTTTTCCGTAGGGCATCTGGCCACTCACTTGCACCTTCCTCATGTACTACTGCTGTTATTTGAAGCTCACCAGAGGCTCTGTTGGGCAGGGATCCTGCATGTTTCTATGTCCATCTTTCTCATCATCATGATCCCACCACTTAGCACAGAACCTGCCTTCCGGGAGGACTTCACAAAAGTGTGTGACTGAGTTTGCCTGGGACTGAGGGATTTCTTAGTATGTGGAATCTTCAGTGGTAAAAAATGGGCAATCCTGGCAAACTGGGATAGTTAGCCACCCTAAGATTCAAAACAGTTAAGGTTTGAATAGCAGGGGAGGTGGTGGCAAAATATGTGGATTCTCTTCCTGAGAGAGTCAACTCTGAGGAGAAGAAGATAGAGTATTACCTAGAAAATAGTTGAGAGGGTTGAGAGGGTTTTCCAGTTTTTTATTCCCCCTCTTTCTTATTTTTAAACCATTCTAAAGGAGTATTTCCAAGATGAGAGGGAAAAGTGAGGGTGAGTGGGAGATAGAGACTTAGGATGATTGAAGGAGCAGCATCTTGTCCTCACAAAGTGGGAGAGGCAAGATGCCAAGCTGTGAAGGCAGGAGAAGGTCCTGACTGCTGGAGAGAAAGCCATGTGTGTGAAAGTGGGGCTGGGAAATGGAGAGGGATTACAACAGGTGTTCCTCACACTGTCGGGTCGTGGAGAGAGGAGAGGGGAATGGTGGAGTTTTGGCTGAAGATGAGCAAAGGCTTGAGACAACCATTAGAGGCTACAAGAAGACACCAAAACACATTCCAGGCACCAAGGGATGCCCAGCTGAGCTGGGAAATCATGAATATGCTTCATACAGTGTAATTACCAATGAGGCTAAGATCCCCTGCCTGTCCAAAGGGACATAATTAAAAGCCTATTACAACATATGTCTGGTCTTGAAAAACACCTACCATTGCACTTATAAAGAAGAGCCTATGGGCAAGTATGTGGCTAAACAAGAGACAAAAATACTTTCTAACAGGCTGCAGTAGAAAATGACATATGAGAGGAAGCAACACTAGGTTGAGCTCTTGGCAGGACTATTATCAATGGGCACTACTCACTGTGTGGTGGCAGGCGGCATGGTCAGGCACACACATGCTCAGACTGCAGAGCAATTGTGGGAAGAAGATAAATCAGAGATAGGCAATAGGGAAGCTACCTGGGGGCCGAATACCTATTCTTGCCATCCTGGAAACCAGGGTGGTTTGGAACCTTGACATTAAGCCAAGCCTTGGCTGCCTCGGACTAAGAACTACTCTCCCCCTGTTGGTGGGGATTTATACATATTCTATCCCAAATCCCCATGAAAACCCTTTGTGATGGTTATCCAGTTTTACCAATGGAAAGACTGAGTCTTCACACAGTTAAATAATTGGCCCATGGCTAGTAAATTAACTGAGATGTAGCTGAGTACATTGACTGAGCCCTTCCCTTGTCCTTCTTACTTTTCACTCCTATAATAATAAGGGTAATAACAATACCTAAGCACAAACCTTAGTAAGAATTAAATGAGATCATGTATGTGAATGTTCCAGGCACCCCACTGATGCTGTTTATATATTCTTACAGCGTAATGGCTCTCAACTGGCAGCAGTTTTCCAGGGGACGCGTGGTAATGAGATATTTTTGATTGTCACGACTAGAGAAGTGCTATTGGTAACTAGTGAGCAGAGGCCAGGGATGCTGTTAAACATTTTACTATGGACAGTCCCCACAACAAAGAATTATCCCACCAAAAATGTCAACAGTGGTGAAGTGCCATGGTAGCATAATGCAAGGGACTAGGAACCACACAAACTAATAAAATACAGCAGGGCCTCACAAGTAACAGGCAGGTGTTAGGACACTTGTAGATCTGGATTTTGAACCCACTACTTGCTTTTACTAAGTCATTTAATCAGTCTGAGCCTCACCTTCCGAATGGGAATAATAACAGCACCTACTTCATGGGATTAAGAGGTTCAGTGAGTTGGTGCTTAGCTCAGTGCTGGCACAAGGAAACATAGTGTTGGCATTATCACTGCTAATGAAAGGCATGACAAGTGAGATGCTGCGACAGAGATACCTTGTTTTACTAAACTAGGAAAGAAGAAGTTAAGAAACATTTCAGTGACACTGTGGCCTTCATAATTGTCACAGGGTTATTTTTTTGCCTACTGTGCAATTCTATCTCAGATAGTACTCATCAGCAAACAATTTTGATAAATTAAATAAATGATTGTTCAATAATACTCTGCTAATGCAATGGAATTAATCAGTTTTGCCACTATGAAAGAAATTCTATAGACACAAGTTTTCTGGAGTTGCAAAAGTTTTTTTTTCATCATTAATAAGACTTATTTCTCTATTTCCCTGTGGTGCTTGCTTAATAAATGTTTTATTCAGAAGAAAGTGATTCAGTGATAGCATTTTAAGTTGTATGCCATGCTGGATACCCATCCCCCCTAAAAAATCATTTCTGAAAATATTTCAGTACTTTTGATCTGTGCAAACACTGACCTGGATTTTAAAATCTGCTGCAGTAACATCAAGGTTTTGCCTTTCTCACATGTAGATATTCTTATAATCTACCTCGGCTGCCTTGAACAGAGGCAGCCCTCCTTTGCAACATCATCAACAGGTAACATCTTCTATTTTCTGGGTGTTGGTCCCTTCCTGCATTTTCACCTGCAGGTCTGCAGAACTGAAGGGCTCCCCTTTTCCTCTGCAGCTGCTCACTTTCCACCCAGTTTTTCCTGCTCTGCCCCTCCATCCTGGTGATGCTGTGTGGCTACTCGGCCACTTCAAGGCCATGTAAAACATTTCTATGACTTTTCCCAAATCTCTTTGAAATAACAGGTCAGACTCCTCTCCCTGGGCCCCTGTAGATTCCATTCATAAAACCTTCAGAAAACTTCACAGCCGTCACCATTCCTTCCCTTTGGGTCAGTGAGGGTGGAGGGAGTGAGGAAGCATGGGAGAGGGATGCAGAAATGAACAGAGGGAAGAATGGAACACAGGTGGGGGAAGGGTGCACAGCTTATCAAGAAAAGGGCAATCACCAGGCAAACAGATGAGCCAAAAAAGGGCACAAGACTTACAATTCTAATGGCTTCCACATGGGGGAAACCGTGTATACATGTATATAATATATATACTTGCAGAACCAACCAAGTGCTGCAGCGGCTTCAAGACATTTTATGCCTTTTCTCTCTGAGCTACCCAACCAGCCTCGAAGTGAGAGTGGAGGAATACTGTCATCCTCATCCTCTCCCAGAAGAGACCTTGATGCAAAGAGGTTATAACTTGCACAGTACGCCTCACACAAAGTGGCTGTAGAATGGGAGAAGGGAAGGAATGGATCCCAGGTTTGACAAACTTAAGCCTCCTACATGAGAGATTTGCTCGAAAAGCCCACAGAAACAAAACATCAGAGAGAGCAAAGAGGGGCCAGAGAAAGAGAAGGAAAGAAAGCAAGCACTGGCACTCATCAGAGTGGGAAGGGATGAAAGGATAAAAAGACGGAAAGGGGGGCAGAAAACACCTAAGAGGAAGAGTGACAGAAAAAGAGACGCACACCCAAGGACCAGCAAACGGAGATCAGCGGAGGACCGCTGGCCTCCAGTCCTCGGTAGCACTCTCACATAGCAAAGCAAAGAGACCACCGGGAAGCCGTCCTTTAAGAAAACAGCCAAATAAATAACATAACCTCCACTCCAATCTTTTCAATATAGGCTTTAATTCACTATGGACTCAAAGGGGAGAGAAGGGGAGGGACCAGGACACTGTTTGGAAGGGTCAGTTACACTAACATACCCTGACCGCTTGCTGAAAGGCTTTAGAGGAGACAGGAGACTACGGAAGCCACCTCTTGCCCCTTCTGCCATCCCCACCCCACTGCCCAAACCCCGTCTCGGCTTCTTGGCTCGCCTGTTCCAGTGAGAACCTACCAACGGCTCAAAACAAAACGAAACAAAACAAAACAAACAAAGACACTTGACTGTGATTAAAACAACCCGCAGCTCCTCTTCATTTCTTTTTAAGGTTTTATTTTTTTATCAGTTGAAACTTTGAATCGTGTTTCTTCTCCGCGTGCGTTTTCCAATCGTTCTTCACGCTCAGGAGAGACCCGGAGGGGGCGCTCCCCACAGCAGTCTTTAAGGGGAGGGAGGATACCGCGTGTCAGTCCCGGTGCGCTCCCTCCTCCCCCGGACCCCCTTCCCACACCCCATCCGGTCTCCAAAGACTGGAGTAAGGTGTGCGGCCGTAGCCCGCGCTGTACTCGTAGGACACCTGGTGGGGCGTCGGCGGCGGGGGCAGGGCACAGTCTGAAAAGAAGGGGGAGAAAGAGGCCAAAAGGCCCGGCCCGTCCTCTCCGCCCGGAGAGTCCTCCGTGGCTGGGTACAGGCGGCGCAAGGGCTCGTTCAAGGTCGAGCCGCCACGGGGGGTAGCCAGAGACGGCTTCTTGGTAGGGGGACAGGCCGAGGCGCTCCAGGTCTCGGGGTACAGTAAGCTTCCCACCATCGCTGGGGGCGGCTCAAAGAGGCCAGGCTCCATCTCCGGAGGTCCCCGCAGGACCGTAGCTCCGGTGGGAAATACATCCAGAGGCTCCGCGGCGAGCAAGACACCGGCCTCGGTGCCAGCGCCGTAGTCCGGCCCCAGCAGTTCGAAGAACTCCAGGTTCTCGGAGCCCTTCTCCAGGTCACACAAACTCAGGCAGGGCCCCGACGGGCCGCACCCGCCTCCGCTTGCCCGGGGCTCGGTGAAGAAGGACGGGGGCAGGTTGCGAGCACGCAGCGGGACCTTCCTGGAGCCCGCGAGCACCGAAACCCCAGCAGGGCCGGCGGCGTCCCCTACTGCGCCCCCAGCACCTGCTCCGCCGAGCCCCACGGTAGGCGCGGCCACGGAACCCCCGGCGGAATCGGCGGCCGCGGGGATGTGGCGCAGCGAGTCGAAGAGGGCGGCCAAGCTCCGGCTCTGCAGGCTGGCCGCCGTAGCGGCCTGCGACGCATCCCGCCGGGGGGCGGCCTTGCCGTGGACTGGTACCGCGACGGTCTGAGCGCTGGGAGCGCCGAGCGCCCGCTTGGCTGGGGTGTCGGCGGCGCCCGGGGAGGACGGTCCCGGGGACGCGCCTCCCATAAGACCGCTGCAGCGCTTGATCTGCTTTTGTAGGTACTTGCGGTGGTTTACCTTCCGCTTCGACTTGCCCGGCTTGTCCAGTGCAAGCTTGATGTTGCTGGACGCCGAGTCGATGAAGCTGAGCAGATCGCGGGTGGCCTCGCGCACGTCCCCACCCTCGGTGCCCGCCAGCAGCGCGCCCGCCGGCGTCCCGGTCTCATCGTCCTCGAAACAGCAGCCCTTGTCCAGGGCTCCGAAGGCGCCCCCCAACCCGTCTGGGGAGCCCCCGAAGCCGAACGGGACGAAAGGGTGCGTGCTGAGGAGCGCCGCCTGCACCGCCATCGCAGCGTGTCTCCCGCGGCCCGGAGAGTGGCGGTGCGCTCTGGAGAGCGGCCGGTGCGCCCCCGCCCGGTTCCGCCGGCTTCCCAGGCCCAGACTCCGCCCGCCCGGACACGGTGCTTGCGGTGCAGCCTCCTAGCTCCGGGCTGCCTAGCTCCGGGCTGGGTTCGCAGCTCGGCTTCCCGGGGGAGCTCATTAGATCTTGTAAGGGAGAGGGGGAGGGAGGGATCGCAGGCGACCGCCCCGGTGGCGGAGAGGAGGGGCTTACTAAGTCTGGCCTGTAGGGGTGGGGAGTGGGGGCTGGGGGGTGGGTGTCCGCTTTTCTAGTTTTCTGAGCTTTCTCAAGCTCATCATCTTAACCCTTAGTTTCCCTTGGCCCCGCGTATTACTCTCATCTACCTCCAGTCGAGAGCGGTGAGGATGGGAACTCCAGCTTCTGAACCAGGACGCCCTGGTTCGGAAGACTCTCCCTGAGGCTGAGAAAGTAAGAGTCCAAAGACCTGGGTTTCACTCCCAGCTTTGGCAACAACAGCCTCAGCTACTGGGCGCTTGCTTATGCCCTGTGCTGTCCATACATTGCCTCGTTTAACCTTTGAGTAATAGCCCTGTGAAGTACACGTTATCATCCCCATCTAACAAATGAAGAAACTGAGCCTTGGAGCATTTCAGTGAGTTGGTCAAAACCACATTCAGTCTAGTCTGACTCCAGAGGTATTCTAAGCCCTTGACAACTTGTGATCCCTCTTGGCCTTGATTTTTTTTTTTCATCTATAAGTTGGGAGGACACTCGTGTCCTTCAAGTTCTAGACTTGGTGCTAGGATTCTAACTCCAGTTTCCACAGGACTTCCAAGTTCAGTGCTCTTTCTTCTACCCATTGATTGTCAGAAGTAACAATTAGCTTATAGTAAATTGAGGCCAACGCTTGGCTCATTTTTTGTTAGTAGTAGATAGCAGAAAGCCAGGGAGAAAGGAGCTGCCCCCACTAAGCCAGCTAGTGCTTGAAAGAGAGCCCTGTGTGAATATAAAACTCTCAGCATCTTAGACAAAAGATGGATTGGAATCTGTAAGTCATACTATTTACATTGTCCGTCTGGAACCTCTGCTGCATATCAAGAATTACCTTGAAGTTCAGTTAGACCCAGTTTCACCTGGGCAATCCTCATGGGATAGAGAAAGTGAGCAATTCAGTAAAGCATGGAAGATGATTCAGAAAAGACTTGGGTCCTGGTCTTGAACTCAATAGCTCCACCCTTGCTCTGATGACGATGGATGTGGGCAAACCAGCCAACCTCTCTCTGCCTTAGCTTACTCATGTGAAATGCAGGTGAGTTTGCCCACCTCCCAGAGCACTTGTGATATTAAAGGAAACATCCTGTGAAAAATCCTTATCTGCTGACTGTTCCATAATCTGTGATGAGTATTTGCCGTTATTTCTCTAAAACACAAAAAAGAGGTTATGTTCCCTTACATGTCTTCTCTGTCACTACGTGTTCATGAGTATTAAATGAGATCACATATATGATGATGTTCTTTGTATAATAAAGTGTTACCTAAATAAGTTTTTATAGTTTAGGTGCAGAGTCTACGTAGCAGCGATATAAACCATCTCTTTCAAAACTTGTTTCTTTAAGCCTCATTTTCCAGTATGTAGCAAAACCATTAGCGAGCACCCTGAAGGCACAACCCTACCAAAGAAGAAGAAAGGCTAGCTGAACACTCTTCAGGAGATGAAGTAGACACTTCCTAAGCCAACATAGTTAAAACAAACTCTTTATTCTTTAAATTCAAGCTGGCTCAATTATAATGTACCTTTCATTTGAATTACACACACAGGATTTTGTCCCCATGATTGGACTGTCCATTTATTCTTGGTGACATTTGCACTCAGAAAAATTGTGTGGGCCTATCCTTGCATTGTATTTCTCACCCCTCAGACGTGGATGTCAACTTTCCCCTCCCACTTCCAGACCATTCTATAGAGCTCAGGGACTGGCAGTGAAGAACACTAACTCTTTTCACCTTCTTTCAACTGAGCAGCTCTTACAAATCCCCAGCTACCGATTTCACGGGACAAGACATTTAATTAATACCTTTATGGTAGGAAAATCTGAAATATCTCTCTTAATCCCCAGGGAATTACTTAAATTCTAACAATCATATTCAAAATCAATGGAATATAAAAAGATTCATATGTAAAAGTTTCTACATTTTCTGATCATTAGTGTTCTAAGCATCAAAGTTGGAGGTAGGTGAGGTGAGGCTCAAATTCTGTCATGCCACCTGCTAGGTGAGTTTCATCTTCATAAAACTCAGTTTCCTCACCTGAATGATAGGAATGGTCATAACTGTTCTCACAGTTTTGCGACAATTAAATGACATGACACAAATAATGCCTCTGAGTCTTACTTTTTCTGACTATACAATGAAGATTATCTCAGCTCAACACTGTTCTGAAATGGTATATATGAAAGCCCTGGCACAAAATAGGGGTTTCACAGATGTCCAGGGTCTCAATTCCTTGGGCCCCACCAATGCCTCACCAACACATTAACCTGTAAAATGAGCATCAATTGTTCTTTTCCCCAACAAAGTGAGGGACTCTTTTCAAATGCAAAAAAGCAACTATACTTACCAGTTGTAGACACTTAGAAAAAACAGTTTAATGTATAAAAAGAATGATGAAATTAGAGCCAGTGATTGAGAATGGAGAGCAATCTACCCTCTTGTCATCCAAAGGACTATAGGAAAGTCACTTAATCCTCTGGACCTCAATGTTCTCATCTATTAAATGGGAATAATAGCCTGAGTCTATTTGATCAGGCTGTTGTGAAAAAAAATAATTGAGCTAGTGGACGTAGAAGTCCTTTGTCAATATAAAGCTCCATATACAAATATAAGTTTTTCTTGGCTTAGAAGTTCTGTAGCCTGATTTACAAAATTGATTCTTACACATAAAACTTCTATCCAGTCACTGATCCATTTGACTGAAAGATGTTGACACCAACAATGTGCCCAGCACAGTGCTGGGACCACAAGTAGAGAGAGAAGAAGCCATGATTCCTACCCTTTCCAATGGAAAGACAGACCTGCGAACAAGCCACTATAATACAATATGATACTTTGCAATGGAAGTAAATTAAAGGGACAATAGTTGATGGAGTAAAAGAATCATCAATTCAGCCCAGAAAACTTGGAGAAGGCTGCATTTGAGCTAAGACTTGGTGCCAGCAAACAAATATTAGCTCTGGGGATAGCCTGGGCAGAGAGGCATGGTCCTATCAAAGTAATGGTGTCTATGGAAACTGTAGATGATCAAGCAACAAAGAACACTGCTTGAAATAGCTCCATACCTAAGACCAAAATAAATCCTTAAAGTTTCCAATAGCTGACTACATTGTACATGTAGACCTCAGCTCATGTTCTCAGTTGTTTTTCTCCTTGATCTTTCCTTTATGGAGAGGCTCCATTTGGCATGAAATTAGGTTCAACAAAGTCAGTGGCCAGCTCCTGCCGGGGCCCATAGCCCCTCCTCCCAGACCCAGAGTGAGCACAGTCACTTGAGAGGCTTTGACACCAATACATTTCACTTCCTATGAGGCAAAAGGACCCTGCTTCAGGCTGCACTAGGGCCCCTCCACAAAGCTCCAAAAGAGAGTTCTTTTGCTTCAGTGATACCTAATACTGAGCAAAGGGGATTAGTCTCCTTGGGAACCAAACCCCCCAGGGGCTCAAGGGCTAACTGGCCCCAAACCATTTGGAAGAATTGAGATTTCACATTGTTCTTTTACACTTGGAATTCAGGACATTACTTAAACAAATGCCCACCTGAGAGCTGCCTGCTTTCTTGTGGGTAAATATAGCAGCAGGATCAAAAGCTGACTTACTAATTTTGTTTTCCTTTTTGTAACTTTAATCATATTCCTTACAGGACAATCTTAGTCCTCAGAGATGTCAGGAACGCACATGCTTAAAGGAAGAAATAATTAGGCATCTTTTTTCCCTCACTCTCAACCCTTAACAGTTTCCTGTCAGTCACTAGTTTGAAGTCTCAGATAAAACAAATCAGTTCCTCAGTTTTACTACACAATTTATAAAGTATCAATTGCATCAAAAAATGTTACCTTACAAATTGCGCACACCCCAAAAATGTATCTCTTGTTTTTTTCTCATTCTCTCCTCCTGCAAACCCCATTCTACTACCACTAGGTCTTATTTCCCATCCTGACATATTGGAGGTTATTCTGATCACCTATAGTTGTATAACAAACTACTCCTAAGCTGAGTAGCTTAAAATAACAGCTATTTCATAATAACTCACAATGTTATGGGTCCATTATCTGAGCAATGCCTGGCTAGGTAGAGAAAATACTATTAAAGAAATAATTTTTAAAAAATCATAGAACTGAAGGGTTCATGATCAAATACATAAGGAACTCTGCTACTTGCATTTATTTTTCTTGGAGTCATCCTTCCTTCTCCAGTGATGCTCCATTCCCCTGCTCCAATATGGACCGATTGTCACAGGCCTGCTATTCACTATCATTGTGACACTTCTCTTGGTCATTTTGCAGGAAATTATCTGCTTCTCTTCCATGATACATGCCCTGTTACTTGGATGCCTCCTCTTTTTTTCTATTTTCTTTATTATTCAATAGGTCTAGAAGTATTTCCTGATTGAAAGACTCTTAAATGCTTGGCAAACAATGAAAAAACAGATCCACACCAAAGCACATTATTTCAAATTTTCAGAATTCAGAGAATAAACACAAGATTCCAGGGAGAAATAAGTGTCATGATAAAAAAAATCAGAATAACATCAGACCTCTTGTTAATAACACTGAAACTTGGAAAAAAAATGGAGCAATGTCCTTAAAAATCTGAAAGAAAAATTCCTCCTTAGAAAGCTATACCAAACCAAAGGATCAATCAAACTTGAGGGTAGCATACCAATTATATTTAGGCATGTGACATCTTAAAACTTGCCTCTCAAGAAACTTTCTCAGGGGAACCATGAACAGTGTGCTCCATAACTGCATTGGGAGAACTGAGAAGGCAGCACCCCACAGGAGGAAACGGTGTAAGTGCTCTGCAAGTAAGAGTGTTCAGGGCAAGTGGTGTTTTGAGGGGTGGCACTTATGAAAGACAAAAGAAAGAGAAAGGGGAAGTGGACAAGGAAAGCCTTCAGAGTA